CCCTATGGGCCGTGCCCCCGGGCTGGACTGGAGCGAGCGCCGACAGCCAGGAGAGGAAATAGGGCAACGAAACCAGGAGAAATGTAGCACCAATAATGGGGCTCACGCACCAACGTACCGCAACAGTGGAAGGTGGAGAACAAAAACGGGAATCAGAGATGGGAAGAAGGTTATTGAGAGAAACTGCACTGACGTTTGTGGATTGCGCACAGGTTTTGAGAACGGTCGGGGACCCAAGACGTCATCGTGATTCCTCTAACAGGGTGTCGGGTGTCCTATACGCCACAAGTCCCGTACTATTTTGGGGGTATACTGTACAACACGCATGCATGCGGCCGGGTTCTTACAGTCACCACCGTCGCTCACCGTTGAAGGGGGGGGGGGGAGTAGGCAACAACTCCTATACACGCCAAAAGGCGGTAGGGTATGATCAAAATATACAGGGTGATCCACGGACCCATTCCTTTGTTTAGCTTATAACTGCACCGCATGCGTGTGCGGGTGGGCCTACCAGGCCTACCGTCGCACACCACGGCGTCTTATGGCCCCGTGTGGCTATGCAACTCGCCCGCACGCCTGCATGCGGTACAGTAGCAAAATAAGGGAAAGGGGTTTGTCGACCTGGACCACACTGTACAGGGTGGTCCATAGACCCCTTCCTTTATTTTGCTTATACTGTACCGGATGCAGGCGTGCGGCCGGGTTGCATACTCACACGGGGCCATAAGGCGCCGTGGTGAGCGACGGTAGGCAAGCCCGCTCGCACGCCTGCATGCGGTACAGTATAAGCAGAATAAAGGAAGGAGTCTGTGGACCACTCTGTATTACGTGGTCTGTGGGTCACCCTGTACCGCCTGTCAGGACTACGACCCAACAGTGTTTTGGGGTTTGCCTACCCCAGGGGCAAAGGCACCTTACGGTGGAGCGAGTAGGCAAACCCGCATACTGTTGTGTTGTAGCCCTGACTACATGTGGCTGTAATTTCTGATTTCCGTTTTTGTCCTCCTTTTTCTGTCATGCCGGTAAAAGAAAGACATTGGGGATTTTTTCAAAGGTGGGGGGGGGGTGATTAAGAAGTAACGAATGAAAACAGAATGCCACCCAAAGCCCATGCAAGGAACAAATTGCAAGGTACTACTAACAAAATTGCGGGGTTCTTATCAGACATATGGAGAAAACCAACCACCACCGAAAGAGAAACAGGCCATGCACATAGAGAGGGGCCTGAATAGAAGGAGCAACCTACCAAGCGGCGACTCGCCTTCTCGTCCTGAAGGGTACTTGGGGTTCTGGGTATTCCTGATGAAGGATTATACCCATAGCTGTACCTCGCCTTGTAGATATCCCCGGACGCGGCCACTGCAAGATAGCAAACAGGAGAAAGCCAAGCAATTAGGCCGAGGTCTCTAAAATTTTCTTTAACTATTCCTACACAGCACGCGCAGTCCGGTCTGGAGCCGGGGATATTCTACAAGGCTTCGGTCGGCTGCTCCTCCCCCTCCACCCACATCCCGCCCCGCCCGCCCCGCACCCTCTAGGACGTACACACCAGATACACACCCACCGCGCACGCGCACCGCAGCGTCTTGGGAACCTGTCAATTTGTCAATGACTGTGCACGTCGACAGGCAGCGCGCCCTCTAACGGGCGCCTCTGGAAGCACACAAACGAAGCTCACAGCCTGCAGAGCGTGCACAGCCCGTGCCACTGCGCATGCGCCCGGCCCGGCCCCACACCTCCGAGAGACGCCCTTCATCGGCACCCCGATCAAAAGGGCTAATCTCGGGGGGGGCGCCCGCCGCCCAGCCTGCAGTGGCGGCGGGGACTTGGGCGCAGTGGCTCTGAAAGCGAAGCGTACTGGAGAAAATGTCTCAGAAATGGAATCGAAAATATAAAACTGGGGAAAATGGGATTGGTCAATTTATGACAACTTTTTACAAAGACGCTGATGCACGCGGTGAATGTGTATCGGTTCCCTCCAAAGGGCCAGATATGTATGCTCAGGCATGTATGACATAATTAACCAAAATATCATTCCATTAAAAGTTAACATCGAGAAATAGTTTAGTTGTTGAAATCAAAATGCCTGCACAACACATCTGGCCTAAAGCTCTCCCTATATATGCCCCCTTGTCCTTTACAAACACATGAGTGGGGGAGAGAACAAAGATGTCTCTATGCCGTCATGAGAGAAGGGCGCCCTGGAGAAGAAGCTTTAGGGCTCACAGACCCCACCTCGTGAGGTTTGCCAGCAGTTCAAAGCCGCAATAATTGTCGG